TCTTGTTGTTCAAATAAAGCACCCTTTTCCAAATCATTCTCTTGGTCTGTCATTTGTAGTTCCACTTTTGGTACTTTCTCTGAATTGTCAGACAAAATTTGCTCCACATCTGTCATTCTCTCATTAACAACTTTTGGGTGTAATCTCTCCATAGAATCAGACATCATTACTGACACTTGATATTGTACTGTAGCTACTAATTTCTAGCTCCATTCTTCAAAAATTTCCTTTAATATTTCCAATGTTATGACGTTTTGTGTCATTTTGTGAGTCCCAGTACTAACCAACACCAAAAGCAGGCTTGTATTTATTTTCCCTTCTACTTAGAGTTCTTAGTCCCCTCTAGTGTCCAGTTTCTACAATCATAAAGTCACTTATCTTTGTTATAAATCAAGATAGCCAGAATAATTCTAGTTCCCACAAAAAGCTATTTTTCACAGTTAATTCCAAAATCTTATGGTAAAAGTCAATATTCCAAATTTAACTGGACCCTCAATCCATTTGTAACTTTCTTAGATCTAAATCTTATTTAGTTTTTTGCTGTTTATTTCAAATTCTTGAAGTTCTTAAGCTTGTAATTATTTTTCTTTCATTCAGAGTTGAAGCTAAACTCATCCAGCAACTTTTGAAACTTGTCATTCTGAAGATCTTTTATAGCTTTAAGATAGTTAATAGGTAATTTCTGAAAGTGAGGCTTGTGAATTTAGTGTCCTTTAAAAGGTTCCACCATGGTTGCGAGGAAGATAGCTAATTCCTTCATCTCCCAGTGTTCAAACCCATGAAACACCACAGTCCTTGGTCTACTTGTGAAGAGCAGCCATCTGCAGCACATGTGAGTGATCTCTCATCCTCTTCTTATCCAGAGAAGTTCCAAGGAACCGGTCCACTCACTGATTCTTTGGTCTTTGCTGCAGTTGTCAGCTCCGCTTTTGCGGAAATGTCTTCAGTTTGCGATGCCTCCCTCAGAAATCTGTCAAATCAGAACTGAGGCTTCAGAGTCTCCCAGAGAAATACAGCCGAAAAAAAGGCTGATTTTATTTGTGAGATAGGGAGGTTAAGAAGCAAAGTAGGTATCATAAGCATTGCAAACATTTAAGATACCATTTTACCTCTTAAGAACTTAGAAAAAACAAAACAAAACCAGCAAAGAAGTCCTGCTCCCCCCACCACCATTTTTCAAATGCCACCTTTAGCATATACCACAAATCCTTGTGCAATATTCTAGCTAAAGAAAATAGTGTATCCAATCTACAGCTGAACTGAAAACTGGATTTAAAACACTTTATCAAGAGCATAAAACAACATACCATTTCATATCTACCAACCTTATTCATTTTCTAAGTACAGAAATGTTGAAATTAAACATTAGTCTACTCTATAAACAAAATCTGATTTATTTTTTCTTGATGAAGGATTCTCTCTAATAAATTTGTCCAGGATTCCTGTTACTATAATGAATATAGGACTTGGCAGGAAAACAATTCAGATGATACTTTACAAACAAATTTCATGCCTTATTTAACTTGCATTATCGCATTTAGTCTATCATATTTTCTATTAAAACGTTCTCAGTGTGAAATAAAAAAATGAATTAATTCCATAAACACTATACCCAAGTAAATCAGGAAAACACTGCATAGAAATTAATGCTCATTTCCTTTTCAGTTATACAATCATTATTAAGACTTGTTTTCAGTAACAGCACAACTTTAAGCTTATTTGCTTAGAAGTGAGGCTAGCTGAAGGTAATGAGAAAATTTCTAATAAATGTTCTTAAAGCCCAAAGCTTATTTTTTAAAGCCACTTGAATTAAAGTGATGGATTGAAAATATAATAATGGATCTCTTGAGTTTCTAGTTGTTGTTAGGTAGTTAATTCTTTTCACAAGTGGTAAGACCCTGAACCAAGTTTCCAAAAATTATCATTTTTTCTCACAAGAGTGGTAATTAAAAAAAAAACAAAAAACTTCTTTCATTCAGAAAAACGCTTGGGTGTTTATTTCTTTCTATGAAGGCACCAGCAATTTAAAAAACATTTAAATAATAACAATTTATGTAAAATTGTTAAGCAGTCATAGAAATACAAAAGCATAGCACAGCTGGTAGAAGGGTTCTGATTTTGCAAATGCTCAGTATGTTTTGTAGCTTGATCCTATACACCATTATTGAAATGAATTTACAGAATTTGGTCCATGCACGTAAAACATAAGCGTTCTAAAAAGCAGAATATAGCACATTTTTGTTTGTCTGCTTTTGTAACGTAACGTTTTACCAATAGGGTGATATAAACTCTGATAACTGAGCTTGCAGAAGCAGACTGCCATATCTCTTCTTTGCACAGCCAACACTCTTGTCCTAAATAGTGCCACACAGAGGCCCTGAAAGACTGAGATCTGCAATCACGCTCCGAGGCGAACAAACATTAGCTGCAATCAGTATGCTTTCACTGTTTCAGAAATCAACTGGTATATACAGTTTGAATTAATGAAAGGCAGAGCTACAAAAATCTGGCCAACCAGTAGAGGGCAGCAAAGACTTAAGAAAACTATAACTCACTGCTGCCATGTAGTAGTTGACAGGATTTTTGCAGCTCAGAGTTGGTAGCTCTATTGAATGGGGAAAATGATTTAGATCAATTATTTCAAACTGACTTTTTGTGTGTGATATTCCAAATCGCCTTGATATAAATGTTCATACAACTTTTAATTCAAAATATTCTAAACTTAAACATACTGAAACTTATAATCAGAATGAGTTGGCAACAGGAAGTCTTAGTACTTTAAGACCTCAGAATTACACTTATGAGAGTCATACTACTGGTTAAAATCTTCACAAATATGTAACAATGGCACCACCTAGCGGTCTGATAGAAAATAAATGTAAAAAAATAATTTCCTTTTATATTTCCTGGGGAAAAATGTAACATTTTTATTATATACATGGATTTTTAAGAATTCATATTTTCTACATAAGCAGTAAAATGAATTCACTGTGAGGATTTTTAGGGAAACAAAGCTAAACTAATCAATACTATAACATACTGCAAGATTCTTTAAATGTCATTTGAAAGATTCCAGTCCACAAATTCCAAGTTAAGATTACTTTGCAGTATAAAAATGTAGATAAAGCCACAGTAATCAAAGGAGACCTCCCTAGAGAACCATGGAAAATGAGCAGAGATAGTAACCTTCCTTCACTACTCTGCTAGTACAGAAAGATTAAGGTGAACCTGCACATCATTCAGAGAAGAATGTGGATATAGCCTTGTACTGAGCTAATTAAGGCACCCAGAACTAGAATAAAGTTGGAAAATAACCTGTAAGTAGTGTCATTCTGAAACAATATCAATAGTGAATAGAAGAACAACCTTAACTCTAGTTTCCAAACCTAATATTCAATGAGCATTAGGAGATATGCCTACCAAGGATGAAAAAACAAGTAATAATTTTTAAAAAGAGGAAAACAGATGAATTTATACACAATTATCTGCTCTTTTACATACACCAAAGGCTATCTTCTGTTTTCTTGGGGCTTATCAAGATGTAATTTGACATAGCATGGATGCCATTATCTTTCTGAGGAGAGTTTCACTAAAATTCCTACCCTTCCATATATAGAGATATCTCTTGAATAAGAAGCACAGTATCTTTTTAAGTTTAGCAAAATGTCTGGACCTGTCCCAAGAACATGGGATTAATCATGACATTTTCTTTTTTACTAAAGGAACATCACTGAGGTATTGACACAGTACTTAGATTAGTGACAATTTAAATACGTTTGTGGAGCGAAGTGTGATCCTTTTCTTAGATGTTATTATTTAGTCAGTGAGAGTTTAAAATACTGATTTTCGGAAATATGTTTGTCAAACTCCCATTTCCCATAGTGACCTCAAGCATGTAAAGCAACCAAGAAGCAAAACAAAAAAAAGTCATGGTGCACTGAATCGTGACAAGAATAAACAATAACACTTATGTATGTACATGTGGGTAGGTAGATGTATATATGACCAAATGAAGCCAAATACCCATCCAGGATAGAGCCCAGCTATAATGTATATTCTTAGATAGGCATTTCTCAAGAAAATTTCTAAAGAGTGCAATACTGCAAGTTGACTATACGCTTTGTTCAACGCCTACTATTTAAAAGAAGCCAGCCAATATTTTAAACTGCTTAGTATTTAAAGAATTCAAATGAGGAACAGCGAGATTTCAGGCATACGTTATCCACTTTCGGGTGATACACCTGCTGCAGTTGGAATAATTAGACAATATCACAGTTACATGTGAGATCTTGTAAAGTCTCTATGGGAAATGGGAGTTTGACAAACATATTTCCGAAAATCAATATTTTAAACTCTCACTGACTAAATAATAAAATCTAAGAAAAGGATCACACTTCCCTCCACAAATGTATTTAAACTGTCACTAATATAAGTATTGTGGCAATACCTCAGTGATGTTCCTTTAGTAAAAAAGAAATGTCATGATTAACCTCATGTTCTAAAGAAGTTTCTAGCATACTCCCAAATTTACTAACACTATAACAGATGCCATCATAGAAATAAACTGATTTTAAGCCATTATTAGTTTTCACTCACAAGAGCAGTGATATATGTCTTTAAATAGGAGCCACATTGTATACATTTACTCTGGGATAATACTAAAGGGTTTATCCAACTATAAACCATATGGACTGTTTATTTCTCTATCCATTTAATCAGTCACCCATTAAAATATGAAAAATACATATTCCAAATTCTAGACAGCATACATTTTGGTCTTACACTCTAAGGATCTGTAAAATTAGATCCTGAACATTTTTCAGAAACTAAAATCTTTTTATTTTCATCCAGTTTTGTAATCCACAGCTACATTAACTCTCAAGCTGGAGCTCTAATATTTGCTTAGTGTTATCTACTGCACTTGCTAGTTTGCATATATTTTCTCTCATACATTAAAATGTATTGTGATATTGAATGAAAATCTAATAAGCCAATCTTACCTTGCCTGTGCTTTGTAAAATGGTAGTTCTTGTCCTCCATACCCTTTCCCTGCTGACAATATCTCTAGTAACATCAACTTCTGCATCAACAAAACTTCTTTGTTTAAGAGCAGTTATGTCATCATCTAAATCAGTCTTAATTGTGGCCCTTTTCTTGGCCATAATTTTGGCTTTGATAGCTGCGATTTTCTCCACAGACATGGCTTCAGATAAAGATCTAGAGAAAAATGGTTAGAAACTGGAGAAATTAGAAATTGGTACTGGCAGTTCAGTCATGCCGCTAAACAAATACTTCTCTGATAAACCACTAATCACTTAGTTTTTCAACAGAATTTCAATTCTATCAGTAGATAATTGCAGAGTTAAAACTGCAAACAAGCTTGTTTTAACTCCGCCTATGATCATTCATTAAATACTTGTATTCATGAGTATTAGGAGGAAAATTTTAACATAACTAAGAAAATGAAAAGTAATGAAATAGGAGGGTATTTTATGATTGTTGTCTCAACAACATCATCAGCCTAAAGATGTAAATTCAGCACCCCATTTCTGCTATTGCTCAGTGAGATGAGAACAGAAGCGGTAAACCAAGAATTTTCTGATTGTTCAAGTGATGCAAAGATTAGTAGCTAATCTTTTTTAAAGACAGGAGAATAATCCAATATTAAGTAAAGCAAGCTACACGTTCAATATATGTGAGCTGAAGCCTGGCCTCTTTAATACACATTCAATACAGTGTTCTTCTATGGTTTGACATTATTTTTGAATATAGCCAATATCTGTACTTCATCCGGCTTCCTGAGAACTGCAATTACTTTGGGGCTGTCAAACTAGGATCTGAAATCATTGTTTAAAACAATGGCAAATTGCAATTTGTAAAGTATATGGTTCATTTTTACTACTATTTTATTCAATTAGGCTTATCCCTTCTTAAGTTTAAGAGTGCAGTCTTACAATGTAGCACACCACAATACTCTACTCAGAAGTAGTGTTTGGCCTGACTTAATCCTAGGAATTATGCATCAGACTGAAATCTTAATCGAGGAGGAGGAGGAGGAGATACGTTTCTAAATAGGAAAGGCTTAAGATGTGAGTGAAGAGGCAGCAGTTTTTATGAAATCTGAGAATGACCATGGAAGACTGGGGGGGGGGATTAAATCACTAGGGAATGATCAGATAAAGAGGGGTAAGGAGGTCACAACTGAGTAATGGGCAGAGGAAGAAACTGAGAAAGGACCCGCCCTAACTGATCAGGAGGTAAATAGGGATGGCAGGAGATTTGTACTTTCAGACTTGCAAGATTCTGTTAATGTAACCTTACAATAAAGTAGAATTAGCTCATCTGGTTGTGTTTCCTGTCTGGTTTACTGGAAGGACTGACAGTAGTAGACAAACTTATTTTATTTGGAAAAAATCTAGCAGTATCAAAAAATTACATTAAACCCTTTTCCACAACATGCTTGTTCTATAAATTATGGTATTCTCCTTATGTGTCTGTATTTGAATATGATTCCCCACCTGCAGTCTGAAATGGAAAGTTCCAGTAATGTTGAATCTCTTTTTTGAATAAATTGACTCTAAAATAAGTTGCATAGTAGAAGCATATAAGCAGCTGCCAAATAATGCAGTTTAAGTAGTGAAAGCTCTATGTGTGAGCACTAGAGTGCAAGTGTTCAAAATCTATTGTTAAGAAACGCTGTTTAAGCCTGACCTAACACTGAATTCTACAGCACTTCACATATATTGCAAATAATCTAAAGTGGGCAGATGAAATCACTTCTCACTGCCAAGATATTTTTAATGAATTATAAAATAATTTGTTCTGTCTTCTTTTAGGACTTCAAATGCCACAAATTACAGGTAGCCCTAAGATTACGGCCATTCATTCAGCGACTGTTCAAAGTTATGATGGCGGTGAACAAATGGTACTTACGATGGGTACTTGTAGTTCTGGCACTACTCTGCACCCGGCTTGTGAGTAGGATGTCACAGTGAGCCGTGGTCATGTGATCACAATTTCCAACATCCCCTGCTGGCTTCCCACAAGCAAAGTCAATGGGGAAGCCAGCAGGATGTCAGAAGTCACAGTCAAGTGAGGTCTCCAGTTAACAACCCATGTGGTCCTTGCTTAATGATGGCAACTGGGACTGCCAGAATTGCCATCGCTAAGCAACACAGTCACATGACATTGTGCTTTACAACTCCATCACTTAGCAATGGCAATTCCAGTCCCAATTGCCATTGTAAGCCAAGGACTACTTGTATTAACATAAATATATGTATGCATACAAGCAACATTTTCTATGGGCAAATAATTACTTGGAATGTTACTATGCCATACAATTGTAAGAATGTTTACTCAGAGGTAAGTCTCATTCATTTCAATGTGGCTTGGTTTATGGAAATATCCAGAGGCTTACTACCCCGGGAAGTGAGAAAAATCAGTTATCTTCAACCCCAAATGTATAGCAATAGTAAGTATATGTGTAGTCTAGCATTGTTTCATTTTATTTGACTTTAAACTAAAACATGGTACAAACAGTATTCCCATATACTGTTCTAAAATGGATAATGCAATCTCTTTGCTAGTCAGAATAGCCTCCCTTTATTCAAGGTCTTCTCAGTTACTATTTTTCAAGTGACAGATTCAGTGATCTGATCCCTTAGTTCAAGTTAACAGTTTAATTAGTGTATATTAAATTATGGCATCAACACAAATTTTTGTATAATTTTTCCCTGAAATGTTTTAATCATAAAAAATTAATTTACACACACTGAATATGAAATATAATTTTCTCTTTTAATGTTTTGTAACTCAGTGAAGACAGTTTTCCCACACTACCTATTACAGACCTTTTATACATGTACTAAAAACAATCTCCTTTTTACTAAATTTTATATTTTGTAGATGAAGCTTAATTTACGCTGTCAGGGAAGAGAGCTGTTTTTACCCAATAGCGGCAAATCCTCTGCCCCTAATTACATATGCTTAGAATGGTAGCTGCATCAAAAAAGAAAATATATTTGCAGTATCTGGCATTATTTGCTGTATGGGATATGTGGATTTTCAACAAAGTTAAAATAACTATTCTGATACTACTTAGCTTTGAATAGGATTCTGCAGCTATTTATTTATTTATTTTATTTTAAAACTTCATTTCTACCTTCTTGTCTCTATTTTATTAAATATAAAACTGAAGTTGAGAAAGCAACTCACCCAGGGCCATAAATTATTTCCTGTGCTTTCTAAGTCTTCCGGATTTCAGGATGCAATCATATTTTTCATAAGAACTGAATCCCATGGGATTTACTTTACAGTAAATATGAAAAATTTACACTGAACATCCAATATCAGGAATGTCAGGGTATTCCTTTAAATACCTTTTTAGTGGGGCATCTTTTAATGGAATTTCTAGTTGTATATTCCAGGATGAGATATATATTATATGATACACACACACACACACACACACACACACACACACACCTGTAAGTTATTTTGTGCTATCTCCATGTTTCTATCCCAAGGTATACTGAATTTTAACAACTTGCCATTTTTGCAAGGAAAATTTTCAGAAAAATCTAAATAACTAATGGCCATGCTATTGTTAAGAAAACTCTTAAGTTAGGAGTAGCATGAACAAAGCAAAACTTGCCTGATCTGCTCAGTCTGCACAATGCCTTCCTTATGCCCCTCCAGCCGAGCTGCCAGCCGCTCTTTGTCAAGCCGCACACACTCTTCATCCTTGTAAGGAGAATATTATTTATAAGATCATCTTTATTTCCTACTAGGATAAATAATTAAGAGTCCACAAAGATGTGAAGCTAGAACATTTAAATGAAAGACTATCTGTCCACAGTATGCTCTTTCCAATTACTGTTTAGCCACTATTATCAATGTTTATATTAACTATTTCTGAATAAAAATCAGTTTAAATTTCAGGTGTTCAATCTACCCAGAAAAAGTTCAGAAAGTCTCTTAGAAGTTATCAGTCTCACACTGTGCAACTGATGTTCAATCTTTTTCTGCATCTAAGTGAATATTCTCTTTAGGCTGTTCCAAGAACTGAACAGGAATCAAAATACTGGCAAACTCGTTCCATGGCTTTAATCATTTTTAGTTAATCAACAGAGCTACTCCACCCATACTGAGTGTCAAACTGAAAAAATAAACACTGTAATATGGAAAAATTCAATGAGACTAATTGAACTCCTTTATTATTATTATTATTTATTTAACTTGTCCCCACCCATCTCCCCACAATGGGGGACTCTGGGCGGCTTACAA